TTTTAAAGTCTTTTTATAAGTACACACACAATCTTTCTTTTAGCACTAAACGGCAAAAAAATTAATTAAAAAAAAGAATACCTTAGAGGCATTAGGCATTTGTTTTTGCATAAATTTTGGTCACACTACATCTTTGGTAGAACATAACACACAGTAAGAGCAACATATCGCGCTCCTGCAAGTATGCTGGTTAAAATCTGTAATATTTCATTATGCCTAACCCCATTCCTCCCCTATAATTTCCTGTCAGCCATCACTATCCCAAGGAATGAATGCCAAAAGTGAGAACCGTAAAGCTGAGAATTTGTCTCAAGACCATTCATTTTCTTGCTACTTCTATATGTGTAAGCAGAAAATCAATTAGAAACAGTTTTTCTGGAGTGCGCCAATAGCGGCCGTGTGTCGTGGGTGCTGACCCGCCAGTCATTAATGCTCTCAGTGCATTTCTGTGGGTGCATTGAAGCAGGATGTGGGCGGTAAAGCCAATCCTCGTTTCAGGGTCACTTGAGTTCTTCTCTCAGCGCTGTCTTGTATAACACTATTCACGATATTCACCTTCAGTCTTTATTTGTATGTATCAGCTGACGTGAGTGTGGGATTATACATTACTGCACCTAAAACTCGGACATCAAACCATCAAAAGCTCCTTTGCTGTAACTGACCTCGATGCTAAAAACAGCATTGTGGAGTCTTTTGCATTGCATAACTCATCTCACAACAAAGAGAGGCCTCTAGTGTTAGCGATAAGACCTGTGGCAAGGGTTTCCATTAAGACTGGGGTCACAGATATCTGCGTGCACCTGTGAGACTGAGCTTATGATGTACTAATCACTGTGTGTGTGACCATAGGCTGTCAAATCAGCATGCAAACAACCCCAGTTCTGTCAAACCAACTTTACACGAGTCACTTCTAGAGCATTAAGTGTGCAAGATGTGAAAGATGTGTTTCATTCAGATTAGATAGATAGATAGATAGATAGATAGATAGATAGATAGATAGATAGATAGATAGATAGATAGATAGATAGATAGATAGATAGATAGATAGATAGATAGATAGATAGATAGATAGATAGATAGATAGCTTGAGCTCATGATCAAAAGAAAAACTAAGTTTCTCATCCATAAGAAAATGTAATATGTTGCTTCATTAAAAAAAAAATGTTTCCTCCAGACCAAGAAAAATCAGGATAAAGTCAAGATAAAAAAGATAAATCAAAATAAAATTTTTTAAAGTAGCAACAATTCAAGGTGTCAAGAAAAAAATATTTGTCAAGATGATGAAGAATATTATAGATACCTTGACAAATATAGATAGATAGATAGATAGATAGATAGATAGATAGATAGATAGATAGATAGATAGATAGATAGATAGATAGATAGATAGATAGATAGATAGATAGATAGATAGATAGATAGATAGATAGATAGATAGATAGATAGATAGCTTGAGCTCATGATCAAAAGAAAAACAAATTTTCTTATCCATAAGAAAATGTAATATGTTGCTTCATTAAAAAAAAATTGTTTCCTTCAGACCAAGAAAAATCAGGATAAAGTCAAGATAAAAAAGATAAATCAAAATTTTTTTTTTTTAAAGTAGCAACAATTCAAGGTGTCAAGAAAAAAATATTTGTCAAGATGATGAAGAATATTATAGATACCTTGACAAATATTTTCTTTTCTTGACACCTTGAATTGGTGCTAATTTTTAAAAAAATCTTGATTTATCTATCTATCTATCTATCAATATAGTGATCATGAGAAAAAAACGAGACTAAAAAAAAAAATTATAACAATATATTGCTGCTTCCATAAAATGTTCAAAATACAATTTCTTATATTTTTCCTTTTAATTTTGTTAAAACATTACTTTTCTCCATCTCTGGTCACTCCAACCCCTTAATCTTGAATTTCCGGTTACATCTACCAATCAATTTGCCCACATTAATGTGAAGCACACTGAATTTATGACATTTACTGAGAGTGACACAGAGAGAAAGATGAAGGAATAACAGATGAGTAACCCGAGAAGGATGAAAAGGAGCTGTTTGAATGCTAAAATGTGATTTGAATCAGAAACAAGCTGTTTCGGCATCACTCTGGGGGTCACTATCCCTGCAATTCTGTCAGCAAACTGCCCTTTTGGTGCAATCAGGGAGCCGGTTTCATTTCTTCAAACGACGCTGTTGATACTACACAGGACAAGGTGATAAAGGATCACTGTCTTTCTCTCAAGGAAGGCCATCTGTCAGACCTCGTGCGTGCTTATGTGTGTGTGTGTGTGTGTGTGGTTCAGAGGGATAGAGTGGGCATCTAATCATCCTAAGCCAAGCTTTAGACATGTGTGTGTACACAGTTGGTGACCACCATCACAATCACAAACAGGGCCTGTTCACAACTAGAGACATGAGAATGAGTGACGACACTGAGCTCTGTACTGTCAGTAAACTGCTTGCCGTCGTTCCAGCAGGCTATAAAATGAGTGTAAATGTCCTGCAAAACCAACTGAAATGTGTCAGCACTATTACAGGAAGAGTAAAGCTTTGGCTCGGCTCAGAGGAAGCCTTTAAAACTGCTTTACATTCTCCCTGCTCGTATATCACGAAGCGTCGCTCAGAAGTTACCTCAGAAAATGAGTTAAGTAGGAATGGCACTTAAGACATGAATATGAACAGTGATCGTCAGGCTCGGACACGAAGCATTAACTTTATGAGATGTGAAACGAGGACACGGCAATGCGATATTATGATTTAATTATCATATAACAAGATTAATATTTGGTATTGCTGAAACATTTGTCTTAGTATACTGGACTTTTAATGCCAAGGACCCCTAAATATGGGGATCTCTTTGCAAAGGACACCCTTACTAAAATATGATGGCAGCTGTATGTTTTCACGTAGCCTGTAAAGACCCATTTATGATATTATAAAGAATTTAGTTCTATATTTAATAACTTTAAATCTTGTCACTGACATAAAGCCAAGTATCTGTAAAATATTTAGTTTACCTTGACTCTTCTACACACTATTAAATATATATTTTAAGTGAATAAGTTAAATTTGAATGCCCAAAATATATACTGAATATTGTCAAATCTTTTTCTTTGCTCCTCTTTTTTTTTTTTACATGTATTTTCCTCTTTTATGTTTGTTGATTTTTTACATTTTACTATTTACTACATTTTTAAGTCAACATGAATTGCTTTTCCTGAAAGACAAATGGAGCTAGACCAAATTTGAATTCACTAAATATGTGTTTGGCTATTGGTGATATGATTTCATCGGAAAAGCTAAATTATTTATTTTTGAGGAAAAATTACAAAGACAGACCATGTTTTCTTTGTAATAATGTGCAGATGAAACGTTCACAATAAGAGTGGTTTTATTTGTATTAAGAAAGTAAATAGGGACCATTTTGATGTTTACATTCACTGTAATTGCAGCAATTTTGTGGAGCACCAAAAATACAAATCTCATTGTACCTTCACAATCATAATAGAGCTTGAAGTTGAAAAATAAAGACGTGCATAAGCTGGGAAAGGTTGAACTGATTGACTTTATGTCCCACAAGCTTATTGTCAAGAGATACACACCTGTTTCACACACGCAATTTCTCCCTTGAGTGCACACACACACACACACACCCCTCCCTGAGTATATAAACACTCACACACACTGATTGAAGATCGCTCAGCTTGTGTGAAGTGAAACAGGGACCGCGCTCTGTGGAGAGTTGAGAGTGTGAGATTGCTAAACGCTGATATACAGATGTGTGAGTGGAAAGAGAGAGATACTGGAGTGTGTTTAGAGAATAACAGCTGCTTGGGAGGATCACAGGGAGTCCAACATTTTGTGCTTCAGTGGAGAGAAATGTGGTTTAATTAGCAGTAACCTTTTCGGTATCAAGATCACATGGCAGTATACACACACACACACACACCTCACCTCACACACACGGCCAGCAGTTAAAAAGCATCCGTCCTCGGCCACAAGGGCAGAAAGTTTTAATATGACAACCAGCGGCTACTGGCGTCAAGGTGAGTCAATGTTTATGTGCAAATAAAGCATGTCATTTTTATAAATCTGTAACAGTGCGTTCACTACTGAAGGGATTCACATGTTAGGGGTAAAAAAAATCAGTGCCTAATCTGTGGGAAATAAAAATCTGTAATAAATATTAGTTTTTTTATTGCAAATTATATTATCTAAACAATTTGAATGAGTGGTTAAAATAGAAATGATAAGAATGTTTTAATATTTGGTTTGTCTCTTTTACGTTAATGGCACACACGTTTATGTAAAGGATCATGTTCTCGGGAATAATTTGAGATTATCTAAAGAGCATCTTGAGCTTCACTAAAACCAAGAACATCTGACTCCCTGTACAAATGAGTTCACATTTATATACAGCAATATACATAAATATATCATTTTATATAACCTTCATATCTATATATATAAAAAAAATCAGTATTGAGGGTTAAATGTGTTTTTTTTTCTTCAGTATATGGCATTATAATATATTTAATATAAATAAAACATCATACACAAAAGTAAGACAGATGAAAAAAAAGTTCTCACCCTTTTTCACCTTGTCTTGTGCGGCAGCTTCAGCGTGAAATGAAGTATTCAGCAATCCCAATATCCATCCCAATATCCATCCCAAAATTCCAGCTGCAGAGTTCTGGATAGATCCACACAAGTGAGTGAATTTGAGAGACAGGTGTGCCCTCAGTGTGCGAACTGATGATTTCAGTGCATGATCACAAAGACAAGAGAGAAACAGAGAAAGGAAGAGAAGGACCTCTCGAATGAAGCCTCACAAGTCTGATAGAATCAGTGCGTGACACAAATATCCCTCACTCTTTTAGAAACAGGGGGAAAAAAGACACTCCGAGATTTTAGAGGAAGAGTCCCAGGAAGGTTGAAATAATAAGTAGTCCATGCCTCAAAGGATAAGAGAGACTCCTAAAAGAGACTGTGAGTCCTTACCCTGAGGCACTCCTAGAAGAAGAAACCGGTGCTGAGCATCCCTAAATCAGCTTTCTGTCCCTTGCACGAACGCATTCATGGTCCTCTTCCATCTTCCTCACGTCTCGGGGCTTGTGAACAGTGTTAATCTCTCGCCGTTGTGCTCTGATCTGCAGCTGAAAGGTACAGAATAAGCGAGGCACCTCCCCCACCTCTGCTAATCCGGCCCACTCTAGACAGCCCCTTTTTGCTGCAACCAATCAGAGCGAAGGCTCCGCCTCCAGGCCTGCCTCCATTCTCTTCCCCCTCTCTCATGCACTAACACTGACACATTATACACTGGATACTTGATTACACTGGACAGACTGATGCAATAAAACTCCAAAGTCTGGATCTGAAAATGTACAGATGGGGGTTCTGCAAATACTCCACTAAATGTTCAATTATAATTTGTGTTGATGTGAGTCATTTGTTTTCAATAAGAGTTTATTTGAGTCGACATGAGGGACACTGACTGGTATGCAACAAAATGCAACAAAATTGGAAGCGAAAAATACCAATGATTTCAAGTGTCTCGATAGATTCTCTAAAGACAGCAATTAGGTTGTAGATATTTGTTTGTTTTTACAATGACAAAGTGGAGCTCACATTATCTTGCTCATTGTATGGTTGGACACTGCAAAGTGTACAGTTAGGAACTCTATTTTCCGCAACTCTAATGCAAGATAGGGTGGTAAACATTAGAGGGTCACAACGATTTATTGGTGAAGAGAAATTAATCGCTTGATGCAGTACAGTTGTTTTATTGTCATTTCCAATTCAGCTGTAATTTCTCAAATTCTGCAAAAAAAGCATGAAAATATTATTTAATTGTGTGTATTAGAATGCATAAAATGCAAATGATTTTGTCCTTTTATTACAAAAATATAAATAAAAGAAAAATAATTTGCATCAATGTCATTTTAACCAAAGAATGCTGTAAACAGAGTATATCATTTGAGATGTGTTGGAAAAGACACCTTCAGAAAAAAAAAACTGCTAAACATTTTTAGTAGATAAATTATATAAACTAGTGAGAGTGTGAAAAGTGTGTTTAAAGAGAGTTTCATTATGCCCATAGTTGAATTATTTTTTTAAAATTTAGTCAGAAATTTACACTGACACTGACATGCAGGCAAAGCAACCAAAACTCATTCAGTTTCAGTGAGAGTCTGAGATGCCAGTTGGCGATGCAACTAAAAGTTGAGCAAAGTTCAGTTTTATGTAAATACAGAGCATATACAAACGGGAATGCAGATAACAGCTGTATTGACCTCATGGAAACTGAACTCAAGGAAGAACTCCTACTGCAACTAACAGTAAGCTACTTGGCGACCTCCAGCTGTCAGTGTGAATGCATGCAAGTTCACACTTTTTAGATGCATCTCACTTAGTACAGGTGTTAGTCAATGGGCATTCACACTGACAGCGTTTTGCCGTGACAAAGAAACCAAAAGTCAATCAAGTTCAACGAGAGTGGCGAATTTAAGATGGCATGACTGACGGCAACAGTTGGCGATTCAACAAAGTTGAATGAAGTTCAACTGTATGGAAATGCTCAGCAATGTGATGCGATGACTACCAATGCAGAAAGTGGAGCAAAACTAGCGACTCGTGATGCAAATGGATATATCAATCGAGCAAGAATGCCTACTCGTGAGCAACAGTGGGCGGCCTCCAGCGATTCAGTCGCTGTCATTTTGAACATATGGTCACCACAATTATAGTTGCATATATCTCATTACAGTTATGAAGTTTCCTTATCCGCAGCACTAGTCTAAGGTGAGCGGTAGTCATGGAAGTGTGACGGTGATTTATATTGGTGACACAAATTGTTTCACAATGGGCGTTCATACTGACTGTGATTTGCGTGAAAGCAACCAAAAGTTATTGAAGTTCAACGAGAGTTGGCACTTTAAGATGACATGACTGACGGCAACAGTTGGCGATGCAACAAATTTGAACAAAGTTCAACTTTATGTAAATGCACAGCAATGTGATGCGATGACTACCAATGCAGAAAGTGGAGCAAAACAAGCGCCTCATGATACAAATGGATACAGTCGAGCAAGAATGCCTACCAGTGACCAACAGTCGGCGATAGGGGTGGAACGGTACACAGAAGTCACGGTTCGGTTCATACCTCGGTTCAGACATCACGGTTCGGTACGATTTCGGTACAATGGAGGGAAAAGCAAAACAAAAATGCAGAAGGCATTGTATTTTTTAAATAAGTTTTATTAATAAAGGCATAGAACCAGTTTATTTGTAGTGCACTGACAATAGTTTTATATAATTCGTTTATTAATTAAATTAATAAAAAGACAAAAAGACCTTGCGATATGTCTGGTAATTGTACCTGAATTTAAAATTAATTTGCTATATTTCAGATAAATATATTTGTTTTCCTTAATTTTAATTAACATTATTAATTAACAATGTAACATTATTCTCATCTGAATTATAAATAATTGATTTCTGTATAAAATAATACTACCATTAAAAACGCATTCGATTTTCTTTTTTAATCAATGTAGAATGTGTAAGATTAGTGCTCAGAGGACAAGAAATGAAAACCAATGCGATATGATGAATGTCCAAAAGATGGGACCCACAGACTGTTTTGAAATGGAGTTGAATAAATATGTTTTGCTTTTAAAACAGTGTGTGTGTGTGTGTGTGTGTGTGTGATTTTGGTTGGGTGACAGTTGTAGGTTACAGTTTGACAAGAGTTTACAGTGTGACAAAAGCACAATGTTGTGTTTTATTGCGAGTGTACACAAATATAAGTAAACACTTTGCAGGTTTAATGATCTGTATGAACAAAATGACGGAGTATGTTTTTTATGTTTCCACTGTTCGATCGCGGCCGCGTACGTCTCTCTCTCTCTCTCACACACACACACACACACACACACACACACACACACACACTCCAGCATTGCAATCTTGACATCGCAGCCTGTTCATTATGTGGTCACACCAAACGCGAATAGAGCGTTAAATTCGCGTCTATCGCGTCTAGTTCGACGCTAGTCCAAAGCGAATAGGACGCGCGTATAAGCCAACGTTTGAAGTGAACGCGCGTTCAGAGCTAAGCCGATGGTACAGATTATGTGTCCCTAAAGAACCCACGTATCTAACAGTAGTTCCGCATTACATTAATTAATTTCCACGCGAGTTTTATTTATTTTTATACCGTGTATTCTCCGTGTAAATTCGTGCACCGAACCGTGACGCCCGTACCGTTTCGGTTCGGTACGAATACATGTACCGTTCCACCCCTAGTCGGCGACCTCCAGCGATTCAGTCGCTGTCATTATGAACGTAAGGTCACACTTTTAGTAGCATATGTCTCAGTACATTTTGAAAGTTTCCTTATCCGCAGCACTAATCCAAGGTGAGCGGTAGACATGGGAGGGTGACGGTGATTTCTTGCCCATATGGGCCTGTCAGGACTGCATCTGGAGGATAGGAGCTTGGCAGTGCTTTTGAGCGTGAGTGTGTTTGCACGCATGCTCAGAGCATCAGTAAATGAAGAGTTCCTCATTGAGTCCAGTTGATGGTCAGAGGTCATCCCCTCTCTCCAGTCTGTTGCCCGAGTCCTCTTTGCAGTTTTCCGTGCTCTTTTTCACCCAGCAGACAGAAGGCATTATTTTCAGCCGGACGGCCACAGACGTGCACCATCACACCAAAGCACTTCATGCTCCAGAAATCGCAGAGTTGCACAAGAGCACCAGGAGCTCTGGCCAAATGCAGACAGCACAACCCCCCATGAAGCACCTGCCTCACACATGCGGGGAGCTCTGGCGGAGCTGTGAAAGTGGTCAGTTTGTTGACAGCTGTTTGTCGAGATGGGAGGTATTGATTATATCTTGGGGGTGGTGTGAGGTTGTCTCTGTCTCTCTAAGGACTATCCACCTCCATCCTTCTTTATTCCATCTCTCTCTCTTTGTTCCTTACTGGACAAAGCGAACGCCTCTGGGGAGGATGCTTGCCAATGTCCAGACAAGTGCTGAATATTTGATGTGTCCCCAGTGGCATCGGGAGTCTGTTAATGGCTATCTTTAACATACGACCGCCTAAATCAAAGGCTTGACACTCACTGTGAACATACTCTATCAATAATGTACCACAGCTGACCAAAATGAGCACACAAAGACACGAATTAGAATTGAAAATGGAATGACAGACTACATCTTTGTGGTTAGATATTCAGTGTTGTCAGCTTTTTTGCAAAAAGTCTTGTTCATTTTGCAGTTTATTCTACCAGATATCAATATTTCATGTCTATCCATACATATATTTTCCAAACTGCTTGTCCTATGTACGGTCACGGGGATGCTGAAGCCATCCCGACATCAGTCACTCACACCTTCAGGCAATTTAGTGTCTCTAATTGCTGCATATCTTTGGATTGTAGGGGAAACTGGAGCACCCGGAGGAATCCCAACACCAACACAGGATCGTGCCTCTTCCGGGATTTGAATATGCCGCAAGCATGCTGTTCATTCCTTTTTTTATAGGTGCATTCTGTCAGATAAATGACCTGTGTGTAAAGAGGGACTGGATGGCGGCCAGTGATGGGAATAACGGCGTTATAAATAAACGGCGTTATCTTTTTCAGTAACGAGTAATCAAACGAATTACTGTTGCCCCCGTTACAACGCAGTTACCGTTACTGACAAAAAAAATGTGGCGTTACTATAATTGAACTCACTGAAGCGGCTTATCCGAGTAGGCTCTCTCTCCGCCATAGGACCTGCAAAGTTTTTTTTTCTCTGGTGTGTGTGTGTGTGTTTATGAGGCGCCGGAGTGGACAAAAGCGAAGCGATTGGCGCGAGCGCGCTCAATGCGCGAGAGAGACCGAATGTGTCCGAGAGCGCGCTCAACAGTTGCGCAAGAGAGACCGAGGGTGTCCGAGCATTATATAGTTTGTTTATAAATAAATGACACATATCTGCAACGTTAATTAATTTACAGGGTTATACAAATAAAATCTAAAAAATTACCGTCAGGTAACGTTCTGTTTAGGTTATAAAATAAACCCGAAAATAACCTGCAGGGAACATTCACAGAAAACATTATGTGTTTGACCGGTTGTAAACACGTGCGGCAAACATGTCTAGAATTTGGCTTAAATAATCTCTGATGATGACGTTTGCT